AAAATAATCATTAGTTGGAGCACTACATGAAATACTTTCATCAAGACATTGTAATATCAGTGTAAACACTGTATACACTCAGCTATTGCTTGACCACAGTCCTGCACAGTTGGACAACAGTGAGACACACAACCAGTGAAAATCGCTCCAGTTGCCACTTCAAAGTCAGCCATCTGCCGTAGCTTCTGTTCCTGCTACAAAGAGAGGACGGGCCAGGGTCGGATAAATATAGTCACAGATCTTGGAGACAACAGCATGCCTGACATTTCTAAGCAGAGGGAGTCACATTTGCTCATCAAAACTATTGGCGTTACATATGAGGAGGCCTAGCAGGGGCACCCGGTTCCCTACGCTATCGACCCTGGCAGTGATCCTGAGGTGGCAGACGGCTGCCCAGTACAAGTCACCAAGACTGAGCGTGTGGTTGGTTCATGCCATCATATCACTAGAGGTCCTGGTTTCCTTGGCTGAGTGGTGTTACTTCATGTGGAGCACCACCTGACCCAAACAGAAGACCTGACTGTTTTTAGCAGGTTAGCCAAGCAGCACTAATGAACAGATAGTAAAAAGGTGCATTGTGTAGGATTATTTTATCTACAAACACATCCATGTTGCCAAGTCACGATGGGGCCAAAGTACCTCCCAACAACCTAGCATTCAGCTTTAATTTGCTCCAAGTCCAGGTCAATTCGAGACATACCAAAGTCCAAGTCAAGTGTTCGTTAGCAATTTGGAAGTCATTTGAACGTCTTTCAGATCTCTGATTTCTAAACTCTAAAGTCCAACTTGAGTCCAAATCTCAAATTTCAAGCCTTTTCACTTTTCCACCCTGGTGAACAATACAGTTTTATTTTATCATTTTCTTCTTAAGTATTCCATTCAGAGAAAAGTGGATAAGCCCACATTATATCCTTTGCTTCCCTGTTAAATTTAGCTATAAAGCAATCACAAACCACAAAAAGACAAGTGTTTAAGATAATATTTTTTCAACAATTGACTGCTAACCAGATATTGAACTTCCCAGAGCAACTTAAAACATACAGTGCAGTGGCACCTGTCAGAAAAGGGTACTGTGCATGCACCATTAGGATTAAAAACAGTAATGTTTGTCCAAAAGTCTGCCTTATCTCAAGTGTACCAGACATCCAACTGGATATATAATGTGGGATCTGTTAAATCAACCTAACTTATGATAATAAAGTAAAAAAGAAGAACAAAATAAAAACTGCACATTTTGAGGGAAGGCAAGAACTCGGTACCACCAAATGAGGTCAGATCAAGATCACAGTGCTTGGTTTCTTCTCGGCTGCTGCTTCCCTATATATCCAACCACATCCATAATGACAGTCTTACTACAGAGATCAAGGTCCTGGAATGTTCTGAGTGTGGTCTGGACACAACTTTGACCAGATGTTTGGGACATCTATTCTGGACTCAAACCCTTTCCCAGAGTACTGTGGTGGGCGCTCTGAAGAACCAGAATCTAACCCTGTACTCAAGACCTGCTTATGGTTACACATTTGCGTTTTGTTTTCAAAACATGATTTGGAGAACCTGTGAGAAACATGAATGCAAATGAATTCTGATCAAACCCCCTCCTGTTGTCATTGGACTGTTTCCTTAAACTTAAACTTTTTAACTTATTCTGAGAGGAATCACGTTTTATTATCACGGGTTATCATCCAAGGACACACGAACAAATAATATCACAACTTCACTTCCTCAACATTAGCTTGTGGCAATTTGTAAACCCGAGGCAACAAAGCTTCTCTAAGAACCATTCATTTGAAAAACCATTCTTGGTCACGCTGTGCTAATCATGAGCACACATGCACATCTGCAGGGTGTTCAAGTATTGTTAAAGGTCATTTGTCAGCACAGTGTATACATCTATTGTTCGTAACCTTTATCCGTTCACTGGTTTTTTATGTTAGTCATATGTCTACAATTCTGTTAATACAGGGTCAATCAGAGGCAGCCTCCTGCTCTGTTAGATTAAATTACTGTCCATGATTTTAAGGTAAACTATTGGTCTTTTTGAGAAGCCATCATTGCTCATCAATCTCTACCATCAGTTATAACATTTTACTAATAAGACCAATTGCTGGGTTGTGAGCACGCTTTGACATTGCTACAGTTCAACAGCATAGGGACAGTCACACAACTGGACATTATATATTGGTTATATATAAAAACATATTATATCATATTACTTATTCAGAAGAGAAATTGAAAGTCCTGGTTGAAATTGTTACGCAAGTTGCCTTACCTCCCACTTAACATAGTTGCTCTTTGGGTGCTATCACTTTCAATTTTGAATCAAATAAGAGGATTAGATAAATGAACGTGAGACAAAATAAAAACTAAACTGGAATAAATGAGTAGAGAAACTAATGACTTTGAACGGCTGTTGCTTTCAATTATTTGGATACACTTTAAAAATGAGTCACCTGTTATCAAGTTTTGTTAAATGTGCCGAGCATGATATCACCCTCAAGGGAAAGTACCAGGGAATCTTGTGCTAAATTACTTTCTCTTGCCTCGAAGCCAGAATTGATTTCAACCATCAAAAATAGCTTTGGACGGGTGGAGTTAATGCCAACTGCAGCCAATCTACTGTGAAATCAGAAGATGTTTGTCTTACCATCTAGAGTGTGTCTATTACTGGTGGTCAGCTGAGATGTGTTTGACGTCTGTGGGTTACACAAGGAGAGCAGATATGGGGAGCTCTAAATGTGTCATGAGAAACGTATTGATTTCTAGATTAAATCAGAATCAATGGTCATGCTTGTACTATTGATGAGTCGTGTGAAACCTGCATTAAAAACGCTGGGGGTGGGTGGGTTGTGTTTTTCTTGTCTTGAGCAGTGAAGGAGGGATGTCTTCTATCAGGACAGATGGATGTTTTTGTCCTCCATCAATGTCTGGTCCTAACAAGCCCCTGCTGCTTTATCGTTAACACCAACCCCCAAAAAACACACACACTTAACTCAGACACACATCTCATTCCCAAGCAGAGCCCACCAGAACACATGTGAATCCATTAGGTCTTGCACTGAAAGAACTCTGACTCATGATGACTAAGTGAATTATTTGTCCAGACTGAAGAAAACTGAAGTGGGAACATTGGCACTATTGACATGGAGGGAAAATAACAATGTGTAGCTAGAAACAGTGGTAAACAGAAACAATTAGTGCACATAACTCCCTCTAAAACCACAAAATGTAATTTCAACATTTCTGTTTAGACAGAAGTTTGTGCAGAATAAACAGACAAGACATTTCCCCAGTTTCCAGTCTGTATGCTAAGCTAAGCTAATCGCCTACCAGCTAGCTAGCTCCATGAGAGGGATGTCAATCTTCTCATGTAACGCTCAGCAAAAACAAAAAAACAAAAATGCCCTTTTAATGTTACATTAACTTCTAAAGTCATCGCTTGTAAATGCTACTTTTCTATATCTATATGTCTAACAGTGGAATGTCTGCATGTGCAAAAAGCAGAGGGTACAGGACAAAAACAGTTCTACTCCACTAAATAAACTTTCATCCAAACAGTGCAGCAGAGGCTAATGACGGCCTAAGCCAGTGACATTCAGCTCTGCAGCATTGGAACAATTCAAATGCTGCCTAGGAAGGAGCGCCACAGAGACGACAAAAAAGCCACCTAGCCCATAACAATGGGGCTTTTCTCTCAACTCAGCCAGCCTCAAAAACTGCTTTGTTGCCAGAGATACCCCCCCTTTGCCTCCCTTCACTGCTATCAGCAAAAATCTGCCTGTGCCTCTAGCTTTGCTGCATGTGCGGTCTATAAAACAGCAGCTTGTGATAACACCTGAACCAAACATATTATCTAATCAGCAGGCAAGCCTTTGTTACTTAACTCATTTAGTATGAATAATTGTTTTGTTGTATGTCTATGATGAGTGACATGAAGAAAGCAATGAAGAAAGGGCGAGGACTGACCTCATCTCCACTGGCCAGTCGGTGGGTCAGCTCCTTCAGGCTGCGCATCATCCTCTCATCCCTGAAGTCATATGGGAAGGTTTCCGTCCATTCCGTCAGCAGCTGGAGGATCTTGGGAGCAATCTTCCTGACTCTCATCTGAAAATGCAGGATAAACACATAAGGGACAACCAAAACGATTGTTTTGTAGTAGGTTCACAATTAAGAGCCCTGTTCATGAAGACGAGGAACTAGAAATTTGAGCCAGGTAGGGATTTTTTGTTGTGCATACCTTGTCAGCTTGGGGATCTCCTAGTCTCTGTTGCTCCATGCACAGGTGACACACCTTCGACATGAGTTCATATGGGTGGATAAAGAGGCGAGAGCTGAGCAGGAAGGTGAAGATGTATGTTCTCTATGGGGAGAAAAAGAAAATACGTTTTCTACCAAAGCAAAATCATGGTGACAAATTGATCATTTAAGTTTGAAAATGGGCTTTAAAACCACATGAAATTAAAACACTCTACAGGGAATGGTACCTCAACAACGAAATATAAAAATAGCAAGTAGGGAAGTTAAAACTTTCTATCCCTGATGTACAGACAGAAGATGCAGGAAAGAAAGACAAAGAAAAGGAGAATGGAAGCAACTTTGGCACTGAACAGGGTCTCAAAGCACCAGAGCTTCGCACACAGAACAAATAGAAGAGGCTTTACCTCCCTACTTTTATGAAACTGCAAAGGAAGAGAAACCACCAGGGATAAAAAATTAAAGTGTGAAAGATTGATACTCACATCTGGATAATAATCTACAGTTGGGACCAAGTGGTGAATGAGGGCCTCCAGTGACCCGGACACCAGGTTGTTGTCATGATAAAAGAGGCCAGGGTAGCCTTCCTCCTTGGACTGGTAGAAGTTCTTGTTGTAGCCGCCGGTGTTCTGCTGCCCCGTGAACGGTGGTGTCTGAGGCATGTTGTCCTGCAAAGAGAAAGAGGGCAAACACAGGAACGGGTCAGTCAGGACTCTAATTTCTTCTCCGATAGATATTTCATCGCAGACGCTGATGCAGGATGACCAAACAAATCCAAAATAGCTCTCAGACAGAAGGGAAATGGTTTGGACGCGGTCAACACCCTTCCTCCTCTGGATCCCCCGCTGTTCATTTTAAGCTTTCTGGGTTTGGGTTTAGTTTATTTTGATGTACAAATGGTTGACTGAAAAAGTTAAAAAGCAAACTGTGGTTGAGACACAAAAAGAGAAAAGAAAAGCAGGAGGTTCATGATTCATCTGCATTACAATTAAAAACACTAGAATAGACAGCTCACAGAGCTTCACAGAGAATTGAACCCTGGCAGTACTACTGCCTTGCTCTACAGAACCATGGCCAAGTTATAGCATAAACATAACTGCAGGGTAATAGTGTGTATTTTCCCAAAAGCAGCAACTATTGAAAAAAAAACTAAATTCTCAGAAAACAAAACCAGTGAAGGTTTCAGATTTCCTATAAATCTTCTGTATGACACTTCATTTATTCAAAAGGTCTTCTGACTCACAAAGGGCGGCTATTTAATGACTTATGAAGAAACTTAAACATCAGAATGAAAGTACACCATGAAAACATGTAAGAGCTTGTGAGAGATTCTGGTGCCAAACTGTAGCCCTGCAGGATGTCAAGACACTTTTTACCCTGAGAGCACACTGTATGATCATGTTGCCTGCTTACTTTCGCTGCTGCCATGTGTGAGTGTGTCGAAGAAGCAGAACAAATAATGATGCAGTGTAGAATAGGACTTGCATGTGCACAGTCCTGTGTTAGCATCACGCAAACATTGCCTTAGAAATCAGTCAAACCAATCCTGCAGCATAATCCACTTTAAAGCAATCCATATGTTTCAGACAATCGTAGCTTTATCTGTAAATCACGGGATACGGCACTTCCAAGCTATGAGGAGGTGACAGCATGAAACAAATGTAGCATTTTCGGATATGTTGTGGAGAGGTATCTACTTTTTACAGACTAAAAAATACAATATAAAATATATTATTGTCATAATATATAAAAAATATGCTATTTCTACTTGTCAAGTGACAAAACTAAGAACTGAGAACCATCAAAATGTTCCCACTCTCAGATCTAAAACTTACACTGGTCCTCACAAAGATAGAACAACAAGCTCACACACACCTTCCTCTGCCAGCCTTCTGACCTCTGAACCTGGCACTTTGGCTCAATCCCATGCCAGGCAGACTTATGGCTGGGGAAACACAAAGGGCCTTTTCACACTGGGGGGTTGGCGCAGGGAGCAACAACCCCACCCCCACACACCATCACAACCCTCCACATCCCCCACCTCCTTGACAATATGCTGCCCCGTGGCTGACTGCCGAGTCAGGAAGCCTTTAAGGCTGATGCACCGCAATGCTGCCAGGGACGGATACAGAGATGCCAGGAGGTATAAACTGCACCTGCCCACACACTGGCATAACTAGTTCAAATAAATTTAGGGTTTCATTGTCCTGTGATATAATCTGGTCAGCAGAGAAAGCTTACATAAGGGAAAAAAAAGGAGAAAATTACAAGGATAAACATCTGCTGATCAGACCAGAGAATTAACAGATATTATTTAGCAGCATTCAATGGTCTAACCTTTAAAACCTTTTGTTTTAAAACAGCTTGATATGGATACCAAAACAAACCCTGTTTATTCATAAGTTTACTAGAAACCTCCACCCACACGAGGTAAACCATCCACCCATCCCACTTTCACACGCCTGCCACTCCATAATGTACGCGTGCACAGACAGACCATCACTATTATTCAGCCAGACAGCCACCACGGCAATTTCCATGAGAAAGACGAGTGTGAGAAGTCAGAGCACAGCGGCCCGAGCATCTGCTGCACCATGTGGCTTCCCCGCAGAGAGGGAGAGACAAGGAGATCACGGGTCTGATGGTGGGAGAGAGGAGGGAAACCCTGATAAAAGTCAACTGTTTTTGGATCTTTGTTTACTCCACTGAGGGTTGTTGCTGAACTTAAGTGCTCTTTTCTTAGCAGCGCTGTACCACAGACTCATTTGGTTGTAGTGTCTTACGTCCAAGTACAACCGCAGATATCTACTGTCCACAAAGCAGCTCTAAAAACACCACTGGGGTTAGGATGAAGAGCAACAGCAGCAGGTGATTGAGGACTGAGAACATGTCTTTTTCACTTTTCCCAGCTGGGATCTAAGCCACCAACTCCCTGATCTCACGCTTGCTTTCCTTACCATGAAGTGGGTGTTTGTTCTGGTTGTTATGTAAAGCTCCAACAATCAGTCAATCAATCAACAGCAATTTTAATACATTGTTTTAAGTAAGTTTACAATTACATTTATTTTTGATCTGCTTAATTTAAGTTTGCAAGTTCCAGCCTCTCCAAACATGAGGATTTGCCAATTTTTTATACTGACCATATTAAGTGGATTGGGTATCAGCCAGACATGATCGATCTACTTTAAATACAGAAATCTGTATCAGCCGATGAGGTTTGAGTTGCGGTACCGGAGTCTGTGTTGGGATTTTAAAAAGTCAGATTGGTGCCTGATTGCTGCCCTAGTTGGACACCTAGTGTAGTTCAGCATTTAATTTCTGGCACCAGTTATATCAGGCAGTTTAGTTGGACTGGGATTAATCTCAAGATGTCTCTGACGTTTTGTTAAATCTGAGTCCGGCCTTCATCTGCTAAACTACTCAAATCAACAGTCGCAGAACACATACTGTGAAAGAATTGGGTTTATGAAATCTAAATTGTATTGAATCTTCTGCATTGTGACATCACTCTCCCTTGCTGATGTCTTGGAAAGGTGAACATTGCATTAATCTCATGCTGCCAGGGGCAAGGGGGCTTCTTTGAAGATAAAAGCTGTGTCTCTAATACAAAAAAAAAAAAACTTAGATAGAGGACATCTGAGATCAGTTGCATTTTGTCCTCTTCTCTAATCTCAGTGTCTCTTGTGTCAGAGCAGCACTTTTTTTACCAGCACATGCAGGTCAGTACTGAATGTTTTAAATCCCATATTAAGACACAATTATTTTTATTTTTTTTTAAAACTGATTAAATTTCATAGCAGTTTTCCAAACCTGGTCTACAAAAATGAGGGCAACCTTTGGCGAAAACCAAGACCCTGTTCTCAGGCCAAAAACTAAGAATTATTTTGGTTTTGTGCAGCAATCGGATACCACCACCATCACTGTCTCTGCACTGATGCCAAGAGTGTCAATTCTCATCTGCTCTGCTCCACACATGCCAGCTGCAGCCTTCACCATAATCCTAAAAACAAAGTGCTGGATGCTTACAAGCAGCGACAACTGAGACACACTGATTTACATTTGGCTTCCAGGTGTCTTGTGTAGTAGTAGTTGTGGTGTCAAGTCCTCAGGTCTGACAAAAGCAAACTCTTAGCACATTGCTGTTGGTTTAGCATGGCCGCTGGCTGGGTGGCAGCTGAAGGTAAACAAACAAAATGCCACAGCTCACCTCCCTCGCTTCAGGGGGGTTTGTTTAGGTTGGATGGATGGTTTTAATTATAGCCTTGATGGTTGTGTGTGTGTGTGTTTGCCGCCATCTGCTTCAATGTGTAAAAAGAAGTCTGGTTTGGGCTTAAACCGGATTTAAAAACAGAGGATATTCAAATTTCTGTCTGTTTCTGCTCATTCATGAGTTTAAAGATGTTTCTGTACTCAACTAAAAGGCATCAAGCAGTAAACTGGCTGTGACTGATGCAAATTGTTGCTTTTGGGTAAAAAGTTTTCATGAAATCAAGGCTATTTTTATATGCTCACGCAGACACTGTTCCCACTTTTTTTAATGGCTAAAGACTCAACCACTGATTATCACATGGCAGTGAGTCTTTCAAAAGATTTCCTGGCTCAAGAGCTGACGGGATGTCTCGTGGTACACTTGAGGGGCCACTATCCCATCCCTAGTATTTAACTGGGAAGTAGTACACTCAGCTGAAACAGCCAACTTAGAAGTGAAACTGAAAGACATTCATCTTATATGCGGTAGCATTTGGAGGGGGAATATGAGTTGAGGAGAAGGGAACATGGGATTTTTTTTGTTTCCAGAGACGATTCACTGAAAGGTTATATAGAAATGTCAAAATATTTCGCTTTTCTGCCCCGCTGGGGAAATTTTGTAACAGGAGGGCAGCAGCTGAAAAGCACCAAACCTCTCCAGGCAAATGTCATATTAGGAGTAAAACCCCGCTGTTAACGTGAAATTACCTTCAGGCTGCAAAGCCATCAATGACACCGGCTTGCAGGTAATTTTGTCTCCAAACGTGTGGGTGGGGCCGCTTCCCCAGAGGGAGAATGATGGGGCCTGGTCTCTCGCTTGCTCAAAATACAAGCTATCAAAGAGCTGACAGAGGCTCTTCCCGCCCTGCCTGCAGTGTTAACGACCGCTCGTGATGAGCACCCATCAGCAGTTCAGAGGCTGTAAAGAAAAAATCTTGAACACACAGAAAACCCATTCCCGTGGTCCACGATACGTATACAGGCAGACACGCACATTTACTGTTTAAGCACCTCCCTGATGCCATTTTCATTTCTAAGATTTTCCTGCAACCTCTGGGGAGTACACAGGTCAAAGCTGTAAAGCTCGGAGATTTGTGATGTAATAAAACAGCCTAAACAGCAATGTGCTTCAGAAGCGGTAGAAATGAAAGCAGAAGAGAAAAAGTAGAAAGGTGTTTTGTTTTTGCTTTACTGGGGCTGGAGAAGGAGGCTATAGCAGTGGGGGAATGTTACACTATGAGGGACCAGCAGTAAATCAACAGCTCCCACCCCCCTACTGCGTAAACACTGAAAGGCATGAGGAATGTCACTCATCCATGGCTTGAGGAAATGAGGGTGAGAGATAGCTGAGTGGCTGCACAAGAGGGCGAACAGGCCACAGTGGAATAGTGGAAGTAGTCTAAATAAAGACGGCTGGTTGGTAGTGTTGTTTGAAGCTGGTGTGTGGTCAGAGGTACTTAAAACTAAACTAGCCTGAGGAGCACTGAGTAGAAATACACCTGCCTAACAGTAGAGGGCTGCAATAAAAAGGTGGGACTGGAGCATTAAAAAAAACACTGCTACATCTTCCAATTGTCCAAATACAGTGTTGAGGTTAAGTCTGAACACAGAGTGAGAAGTGATGAATCAGCAAGAACATGCACTGACCACAAAAGAGAAAAGAGGACCCACCACAGATAAATCTTTGTCCCTCTCTTTCTCTCAACCTTTTTCAACCACACTATAGGCTACTGCCAGTATGTCAGTACAAACTCCCACAATGCAGTTAAACTTTGTTCAAACCCACAGAACAGCTGAAACATAATGGCTGATGTCCAAATTTAAAGACACTTATGGGGAAACAAAGGAGAAAAGCAGAAGTGATAGAGTAAACACATTTGCCTAACAACACATTTAGCAACTTTACCTCTAGCTGCCAACAAGCTGTAACAAAACATACCCATCTACTAGCTTGATTAGCATTTACACAAGCAGTAACAGCACTTAAGGACTATTTGTCATCACCGCTGTAGCACCTAGTCTACAGAATACTCTATAAAATGCAGCAGACTGAACTGATAGGACAAATGCCTAAATCACACTTTCCTTTACTCATTACGATGGCTGAAAACAGAGGAACGTGCACACCAGTAATGAGGGTTTTGCAACCAGCAGTGTTTTGACTGGGGGCAATGTTTGCAGCTGTTGAACCGAGTGGTAAAAATCACAGCTTTCATATAGGATTCTGTCACCTGGCGTCATCAGTCCATGACAGCCACACAAATCCCCCCTGCAGACTCTAAAACATCCCACAGAGGGACGCTGCAGCAGAAACAACACCTTCATGGCTTCTATTTCTCATTCTTTAGGAAGCAGAGTAAACAGCATGCTAAGATTCAACCACAAGTAGAGGTAGATACCGGAAACATCGCAGCCAAATGAGGTGGGACACGGTAGCCTATTGAGGCTTCATTCAACATGTGTCTGGACTGGGAAATTCATGACCTGATTCCTGACTGATCTGACAGTTTGCAGGTTAAATTACGCCTGGGCACCTATATTAAAACGGAGCTACATTTAGTTGTAAAGTGGATGTTTACTTTTTTAGACTCAACCTGTAGTTGGGACCTGCTTCACAGTAATAAAATACTGTCCAAACATCCACTTTGTAACCAAATTTATCCCAGAAAGTGCACATTTTACAATCTGCAATTCCATGACTGGGCAAAATCCATCTGCTAATGAAAATCATGTGATACGATAGAAATCACTCCGAACACAGCACAACACATTCCAATCTACACTACATTCTATCTGTTTACTTCACATCCAGAAAGCGTACGGACACTTCTAAGGACAGATATATAAAAACCAGACTGGTAGCTGATAGAGACAGTTTCTTTCCAACACATTCTGCAGTATACACACCTTTTTCATCTACAATCACATCACTCACTACTTGCACCAAAGTCCTGACACTTCCAAGACCCACATATCGTCATATATCATTTATTGGTTTGCATTTGTACAAACAAAGACCGCCACAACCACCACCAGGCCTACACAACACAGCAGTACAGTAGCAACCACGTAATCCACAGCAACAATAACTCATTCAAGTGATGCATCCTCGCATTGTCAGCCAGCCAGCCAGAGTCCTGCCAAATCACCAATAAACGGATTTAACTTGTCAGCACATTAAGGAAAGCCTATGCATGTTTGTAATACAGAGCAGCGGCACGGAAAGCCAAGGAGAACAGAGTTATTCAGGAGAGATGTGGGATTAACTTCACTGATCCCTCACTGTCTTGCCGGGGAGGAGAGGTGAGGAGGGGGGAATCCTCTTAGCCAGAAGGTAGTGGGGGTTAAAAATAGTCCGCCATTGACACTGATTTCAAAAATCCCATTATTAGGGAACATTTTAGGGGTCATCTTACGGTAAATGAAAAGACAGACACAGCTATTTAGTGCAGCCAGTGGATTTGGGCATCATCACCCTTGTTTGTTTTGACCCTTGCAGGATAAAGTAAATAACGGCGCACTTCCAGCCCTCGCACTGCAGTAAAGGTTCAATTCAAACGCTAGAAACTCGAGCTGCAATCTTAACATTTGCAGCCAAGTTGTGCAAAGAGTCACAGAGCATTCAGTGAGTGGTCAGTGCATTTACAAACAGACTGCCGATCCTCTGTGGCTGGGAATAAAGTGCGCTCTTTCCACCACCTGCGCGCATTTTGGGTCTCCGAGGTGCACAAACAGCAACAACATTCACTAAATATCCACAACCACAACATGTCCACAATGAATCCTCCAAGCTCACCTCAACAAGCAGTAAATCCAGGAGCGAATTCCTCTCGTATCCTTCTCCCAAATTGTGAAAAAAACAGCCTTTCAGCAAGCAGAGACTTTCTCCTTTTACATGAGAATGAATCGAGGCGGTGAAACCCAGCAGTCCCTCCCGGCTCCGGTCGCTCAATGCAGCATTATTAAGTTGGAAATGCAAAAAAAAAAAAAAGGAAAATGTGTATTCTCGGTTTCAGAGTAGCAGCAGCAGCAGCAGCGGGTTTGTTCGGAGAAGAAGAATCCGTATGAATGAATGACAGCTCCGGCTGTGTCTCTCCAACGCCGCACTCTGTGGTGTGTGAGCTCCGGAGCAGCGAGCAGCCTTAAGACTTTATTGTGAGGGCGACGCAGCAGCCAATCAGAGCAGAGAACCAGCCCCCACCACACACACCCCCCTCTCCCATCCTCTTTCAATTTCATTTCTCTTTCTCCATCCATATTTCTCTCAAACTCTCTGACGTTTTTTCCATCAGTATTTCTCCACCCTTCCTCTTATAGTTTTCGATTCTCCATGAAGATTGCTTTTATCAGGAATGCCACCATCAAGTGTTGCCAAATGAGCTCATACTGAATGTGGAAGGAAAATTAAAGATGCAGCATGAAAAGCTCATGTATCTCATGTATCTGTGTGTGTATGTGGTATTTATCTCAGTGGGGAGCATATGGGCTTCTTCTTCAATGTCTTTGTGATTTTTCTTTTGTGTTCTTTTCACCTTTTATGTTATGTTTTATTGTATTTTATTTATTCTTTTTTGTGCTTTTTATAATGCAATATAAAAAAACTGTCTTGTATATATACTTGTGATATATGTGTGTATGGGTATGTAAGTGTAGGCTACATTATATAATAAGCATACATAATATGAATTGGCAGCTTGGTTTTCTTTCTCTTTATTTACAAAAACAAGATAAAAAAAAAACATGTAAATATACTGAATACTTTGTGGAACCATGAAATTATTACAATAAAAGTATTTAAAAAATGTCTTGCATTGCCTGGAAATTATATTATGTATATAAATATATATTAAATGAGTCTACGGGTTCCTGGTTAGCTCAGTTGGTAGAGCTGGCGACCCATAGCGGCCCGGGTTCGAGTCCGACCTGCGGTCCTTTGCTGCATGTCGTCCTGTCTCTCTCTCTGCCCCCTTTCCTGTCTCTCTACAGCTATCTCTGTCAAATAAAGGCATAAAAGGCCAAAAAAAATAATACTTTAAAATTAGTCTACAACCACGCTAGCAACTCTGACAGCAGTGCTAAATATTAACGCTATCAAGTAATTCACATATCGGTGACCTTTATAGTTTGGCTAATTCGGACTAAACACAAAGTACAGCTGAGGCTGATGGGAATGTCATTAGCTCTGCTCCATGTCCCCCTTGATATCAGTGGTGATCCCAGACTTTTTATCTAGCACCATCAGTGCTGGGAAGTCTGGGATCACCAGTGATTTCAATTCATCCTGAGGGGGACGTGGATGTCTGCAAACATGATAACAATCCACCAGATAGTTCTCCAGACATTTTACTCAAAAACAAGAAAGTCAACCTCCTGGTGACACTAGAGGAAATATTCAACCAAAGTAAGTAGGGTTCATCCTCTGAGGACCATGAATGTCTGTACCAAACTTTGAGGCAATCCATTCAGTCAAGTTTAATTCCAGACCAACAGGTTGTATAACCATGTAGCTAACATATCTAATACTAAATACGACAATGTGTACAATAATTACAATACAATACACATTACTAATATTATGCTGTTTGCATTAGAATTGTGGCCTGCTGAGGAACTACAGAGGGAAATGGTCTCTAGGCTGGTAAAGATACAATTACACACCCATATATATTTTTAATGTATTCTGTTCACCTTTCTCTCTCCACCACCCTCTTGCCCCCTTCCCCCTTTAACCCTCTTTTCTCCCATTTTTTCTCTCTCTTCTCTTTATCTCTCCACTCCTCCCCCTTTTCTGTCTTTTGTATTTCTACACACCTCATGTGAAGTTCAGGTCATGGAAGTCGGAGCTTCGTTGCCACCAAAAGAAACTAATTAAAATTGTTTCATTTATGTCAGTGAAAAAGTTGATGCATAAAATGAAAACTGAACAGCTCAATCTCTTTCACTGTCTCCAACACAACAAAGGGTCTCATTTAGTCCTTCATACCAAAAGTGATGTTCATTGTCCGTCCAGAAATACAAGGTGACAACAGTTTCTAAGTGGGCGACACATAAAAAGGAGGCTGCCTTTGTAGGCAAATGAGAAACATTGATTCACAGTATGAAAGTCCAGAATGGGATGAATCATTGGATTTAAAAACATGTTCAGATTAAAAAAAATAAACATGCAAACCACAATTGTGTTTAAATGTCAACTGTATTAAATCCTGTGAAGCAGTGTTCTCAGGCAAATTCTAATCTTGCCAGCGCGACCGTGTTCTGTCTGCAGAGTTATAAAGGGCCATTGTGTGATTATTAGTCATTTTTATTCATTTAGCTTTTATCTAAAAAGCCAGGTTGATTAAGAATGAATTATCATCTACAATGACACCTGGAAAGAGGAGAAATCAGAGTTACAAGACAAAAAATACTGTAAATTGTTTCTTTTACTCTTATATATCCGCAGAAAATACACAATTCTAACACAACATTTGTTACAACAAATGTTCTGCTTATCTTCAAACAACAGAAAACAGAACAAGACTATAGATTTTTTCCTCTTCGTTAAGTCAAACTTCACTGTAGTTCAGTTACTCTACACAGTAAAGAAATGTGACAAAGACTACATACTGGATGTTTGTTTAGCCAAAGAAAAATCCTTTGTGCTTGGCTGACTTTCTCCACATTTCCAAGCAGAGTAATAAGCCACTGTAAAATAACAGCAAATCATCCCAAATCTCATCAACATCCAGAGGTATTATGTAATCTGGGGTATTAGCGCAGATTTACGTATATGCACTAATCCAGCTTTTCTCTCGCTTAAATGACTGCACAGAGTTTGACCACAAAGCTCAGGATTGCAGTCATTATGTTGGACATGATGGGATACAAACACAAGTGTATGTGACAGGCATACAAACAACAGTAAGGGGTCTGAACCAGGTTTCGAGCAGAAACCTTTTTTCATGTGTGCAACAAAAGTAATGGGGAAAAAAATAAAATGTATAATTAGAGCTGATCAAGGAACAGTAGAATTGTGTGTACCAGTATTTAGAAAAGGTTAACAAGGCCTTGAACTAAATATCTTACGATTTCAGGTTGGATCTTTTACGAAGGCTCTGGTCACGCTCACTTTTAGTCTTCAACATTTTACATATAATAATGAATGTGACAGAGGAGTAGGTCTCAATTCACAAATTACTACCATGAAAAGCAAACATGTTAAGAAGAACAAGAGCAAAAAAGGCCCTTTTCTACATTTTTTAAATGGTCAACTATTCCCATGAAAAAAACTTAATCCGTCTCTCAATACTTCCTGACTTCCCCACCCTGTCGGTGGCTCTCAGCCTTAACCCCATGTGTTCATACTGAAATACAATTTTTTTTTAAAATGCTCACATATATGTAGTTTTATTTTAGAAAAGGCTCAATAATGACATAAAACTGCTGGCTTCTGTAGTTTTGAGCAGACAACACTCAAACAGGAGGAACTAGTGCATTTATTGGCGACTATTTTCAGCGGCGGATTAATCCACATTTATTGTTCTAGTGAGTATTTGGGGCTGCAGGACAGTGTATCTGGGATTGAGTCAAAATAAACTACAGGAACATTGCAAAGGTGTGGCTCGTTGTGTTTTTGAGCTCTATTCTCACAGAGAAATCAGATATATCAAGCTCTGAATACATACACAATGCTTGTTAGCAGGATCAATTTATTGTCGGTTTTAGTCTTTTCATTTGATCATTTATCACCAGCCGTATCCTTTAAGTATTCCTGTGTCTGGTTTCAAACATCATCTGTGTAACAAAATATGAGCTTGACCAATGTTGATCACAGACTGGTTTCAGCATTTCTAAAGCAAAAGGAAGCGGGGCTTTTCCAATTCAGCTTGTTCACGCTCTGTCCCTTCAGGGCAGCCAGTGTTGAATGGCTGAGTGAAAGATTTCCAGTTTGTCTATTCAGGTAGCAATCAGCATGGGGCAGCTACAGCCTGGAGGTTTAATAAATCAGGTTCCTGTAAGTGAGTGTAAAGCAGGGCAGAGCAGGAAGAAAAATATCCTATCACAGAAAAGAGATGTTGTGTAGCTCATTTGATAAAGCGTGTAGCACTAAGGGCTAGAGCTGAAACAGGAAATATATATAGTGTGTAAAAAGGTACAATATGTCCACAGCTTGACTGAAGACATCTGATGTTTACTCTCATGAAGAACAATCCTGACTAGACTATCAGAACTGTGCTAAAGGTCTGTTATACAAGGCTGATTTGAAATGTTCCTGCAGGGAAATAAACAAACACTGACTTTATGTTTGTGCTACATTCCCCATATAGCTTCAACACGGAGCAGCAAAGATAGGCATCAGGAATTTACAGTACCATGTTGTTTCCCATCGGTGATGCCCCTGCAGCAGCCAGGTCACAGACCAGTGTCTTGCTCATGGACACATGGACAAACATCCTGAGTAGACAAACACTTTTCAGGCACTGAGGGAATTAAACTTGCGACTTTCTTGTTGAAGGACAGATTTTCTAATGTGCTGACGACAAAGCCATTAATAATCATAATAATCAGCTGTGACGGATCAACTCTCCATGCGTATGTTCCATGTGTCTGTATGTCTTCTTTATGTAACAAAAATACATTTGCCATATATGCATATCTAATGTATCATTGACAGATGTTTGTTTGTACTGCATTGTGCAATATATCGCATACATAATTGTAGAACTAATGCAAAATATATGTGATTAAATTATTCATGTTTACGATGTCTGTATGAAATATAAAACATATAAAATCACAATGTATCCAAATTATGCCAGAACATATGTAGAGTCCTCTGTTTCTGTTTTAATGACTCAATTTTCTTTGGAATGTAAACTGATTCAAGTTAGAAAAACACGGTACTTTATAATTAGCTTGATAACTGCATTTTTGAGCACAGAAGATTTAAAGATTTGATTGAAGCTGGAGTTCAAATTAGTTTTCAGAAACATAAAGCATGAAATCAGTATTCAGACTGAATGTACTGTGTATGGTGATGCAGACTGTAGCTGTAGTGGCAATTATTTCCGTTTTTCGTATTTACAAGAACAGTCATACAATACATTGTGAGGTTATTATGATAGCAAAAAGCAAAGATAACATCTTTCAAATGTATAACTAGGACTTCAATATTTCCTATTGCCTGGAACAGTAAGAACTGTTCCAGGCAGGTCACTGTGTTGCTCAGTTGTGATGAAGTCGCCAATCGTTATTGAGACTTCAACGTGTCAGTATTACCAAGTATCAGTACAGATTTAGACTTTTCCATTAGTACTAAAAGGCTACCTTGTTGACAAACACATTCCAGAAGAAAACAGAAAATGGTTGAAAATATGTTTTTTAATTTATATAAAAGTGCATGAAACAATTCCATTACAACCATTACAATCAACCGACACCTACCAACCCTTGCAGATGTTGTGACAGAGGACAGACAGAAGAACAAATTGTCCATACAATTGTAATTTCTTCTTCTAAGCTCTCTGAACACAGGCTTCTCCTGCATTTGGTTCTATTAAAAGTTATATATCACTCAGGGTTAAGGCCTAAACCGTCCTGAGTGTGGCTGTTTACATTATCAGTGCCGTTATTTGATTCCACCTGAGCTTATATACCATGACACCATGTCACACTTTGGGTTAACCACTGTAAAAATCCTTGGTGTGAGTGCATCTTAATGTCTGCCTTTGTTCAAGGTATGATTTGGACCAGTTGCTGCCTCTGCTGCAGTCTGGCTGCCTTCACATCTACACCCATGTTCTCTGGCTAGACTGGTGAGGAGCTCAAGGACTCTGATCTCATGCTCCATGCGAGCTTTCTCCCTCCTCTCCTCTCTCTCAGCCGTCTCCCTCTGCCGGCGCTCCTCCCTCTGCAGCCACTGGGCCAGGAGCTCCTGATGCCAGCGGGCCTGCTCCTGTCGCTGACTCTCCAGCTGCACCAGCAGGCCCCGCGTCTCCGACACCAACCGCTGGAAGCACTCCGACAGGTGCTTGAGGACGGGTTCCAGGCAGGTGGACTCGGGGTGATGGTGGCCAGAGCTGGGGAGGGTGGTAGGGCTTGGATCTGGGGGTGCAGGGAGTGGAGAGGCGGCAGGTTGGGTATGAGGGGGAGGAGAAGGAGCAGTTGGAGGTGGAGGTGGTACTACATGTGGAGAAGGAGTGCTCAAGCTGTTTTCCACTAGTGTACCTATGACACAGAATATAAAATAGTACAGGTATGAGATTACTAATGACAGGAATATCTGAATATCTAGAGTCACCTAATAGTTCCAATAGTAACTAGTTCCAGCTGCTAAAATGTGAGTATGTGCTGCCTATGTGTCTTTGGGGATATACAATGAAGGGATGATGGACAAATTAGTTTATAGTTCACAGAAATGTTTCATTTGCAGATACTGAATGCCATTAGGTGTAAAACATTTGGTAGTCAGTATTCGGGGGTTGTGATTCATCATAAGTAGCAACAAAGCCAAATTATCAGATGAGTAAGATTCACAGCCACGTGGCAGATGACAATATGTTCAATAGAGTTTTTTTTGTCAAACTAAAACTAAACATTTAGCATTTGGTTTTGCCTCTAATGATTTATATAATAATCAAAGTACATACCACTAATTTCTTGATGGATGGGTGATTCCAGATAAACTCCATGGTGTCTGTCTCTCGGACGCTGTGGGAATCCTGTGTTACCGAACTCAAACTCATCTGCTGAATCTTCTCCATCTTCCAACTTGACTTCTGAGTCCAACTGCCAAGACTGGCGGCCTCCTCTCTCCTCTAAAGAGCTCAAACATGGTCTTCCTGTCCTCCCCAAAGAGCCAAAATGGTGTCCACTAATCTCAGTATTAGAATTGACATCTGGCGGGATACTTCCTGTCCTGTCCATGGAGTCAAGGTTACACTCAGCGATCCGTTCTGGAGAAACAAAATAGGGCCCTCCTTCCCCTCCTGCTGACCTCCGGCCCAACACGGCATCCATGTCTGCAAAGTATTTAAAAGTGCAAGGCTGCAAGCTGTCCACGCTCCTCTGCAGTTTGGCTCTCACATAGTTAGCCTTCAGAGTTTTGACCCGAAGGCGGCACTGGTGTGGACTCCGGGAGAAACCCATTTCGCTCATGCGGGCCGAGAGGTGTTTGAAGACATGGCGGTTGCGAAGGTTTTCTGCCAAACTCTTCTGGACGCGCTCATCGCTCCAGGCGCACAGCAGCACCTGAGTTTCCTCCACTGTCCAGTTAACTGACCGCTCAGCCTCTCGTTTTCCTGTACATACAGAAACAATGCTGAATGCATGATGATGCTGGTGATCTGGGCTTAAGGTTCATAAAAGTTTTCATGACAAGCACCATCAGATGAACATGTGCTAGACCACTGACCCTCCATGTCGCAAAGAATCCCAATCTGGGAAGAGATAATCTGAGGATTTGTACAAAACTATAGAGGAGGGAGCGTAATTACATGCACATGAATGCCTACACACAAAATGATTCAATTTCAATTGAAGTCATTTTGTGCAGGTTACTATTTTGCACCAAATGAAGCAGTCCTGCATTAAAGCCTACCTCCATCAAGTTTATAATGTTCAGTTTTTATTGAAACTGTCTCAGAGAAGTGTTGAACTGTACGGCCATTTGGTCATGCAGTTTTGGTCCTATTGAACTGTATTGCAATATTCTGAGAGGTGTTACCATCTACATAATTAGTCTTCACTGATATAAAAGAGCTGGAACTATTAGAAACAACTTCCAGTATAATGTAATACAATGCCTCTCTAAAGTATGTTGAACAAAAAAACTGAACATCTTAGCATTCATGAAGGTGGGATTTAAGGCAGGTGGTTGTGTTAGACTACATTAGTTTTAACAAGACGGACCCAATAAACTGACGACTGAGTCTGAATCACTGTCTGAAGTGTGTGTGAGGGGGCAGAGCAGCAGCTCAACATAACCACAGGCGCAAGGCATCTTTTAACATTCCTCTTCATCTTCAACTATTTGATCTTGAATTGAGTGAAATGGGCTCAAAAATAGGCCTTTTTTAAGTTCCCCACACTGCACATTAGGGTCTGAAAACATCACTTTAATCATCGTATTCAAAGAAATACTCTAAGTCTGAAGGTGAATTTAATCTAAATTCTGCACCCACTGGTCTCACTAAAACAAGTTTCTGGGTCACAATGATACATTAGTGGCAAGAAGGAATTCAATCCCTAGCAGCAAATTTTTTCTAAGTAGGGTGTCTGTCATAAACCCAACTATTCAGCACAATCAAGGTTAACTAAGGTATTTAGTTTTCATTAATAACAAGGTGTGCAAGTCTTGCAGGGTAAGGATGTAAACATCAGTAACATCACACAGCCATAGGTTGTGTTATTAATCCTTGTTTATGTCCAGAAACCTGAAGTCTTCTCCATCTTTAGCAGAGCTGGTAGGCTCACATTATTTAGGCTTGTGCTAATTATCCATTAATTAGCTGACACTGAACGTTACAAGTCAGCTACCAGGTGAAAAGTTCAGACACATACAGAATAATAGTAGTCTGGTAACACTGTCCGCCATTCAAAAGGCTGGGGCTGTCACTGTGCATGCACGGTATGAAGCACTGAATGGTTCAACAGCTGGATAACTGAGTGAGTCCAAACTAGAAAGACACAAATACAGCTAAGTGTAGCGGCTAACAGTTAGCTGACCTAGCTCCGTGACTGTCAGTCTCATCCTGGCTCTCTGCTGCCACTCACGCCTCAAATAAAACATGTCGGTTGCTTAAAGGGTTCTTACTTTTGGTTGTTGACACGGAGTTGGTCGAGTTGATCATCGGAGGATTCATTTTACCAGCTGCAGGAAATGTAAACAATCGTCACACACACTCCGACGCTCCTCTCTTCCGGGTGACGGCGAGTTCGCAGCGTGACGTCAAGTGACGTGATGCAGCATTGCGTCACAATATCAAATAAATGAATACAGACAATAAAAACGTATAATGACAAATAACTAAATAACTTCCCTGTGTGTCTCTAAACGCTGCTAATGTGATTTTGCACATCCAAATAATGCTGTGAGCAGTATGTGTATAATGTATTATACTCATTCATATATTGTAGTGAAAATGCATGACAGATTCTTAAATTATACGTCGCCCTAATCTGCAATGTTCCTATTTGCTCTATATCTATATTTTATCTTCACAGATCCTATATATTTTTTTATATCTCCACTGAGAACATTAACGTTTCATGTTTTTGTATCGAAGAAGGCACAATGAGATATGAATTCCTTTTTAATATGCAGTATATTCATATATTATTCAATAATGATATATATGATGTGTTGTACAATATTTATTTAAACCAGAGTGCCATGAGTCACAGTTGTGCAATCCTTCACTGTGCAATCTATTGCCCATGTGCAACTTTCTTTTTGGCTGCTACTATTTTGTGTGGCTGCTACTATTGTGTTATCTGTCGTTTGGATTCTTACTGTTTTTTTCTCTTTTACATAGTGTTTATATTACATTATATTATTTCCCTACTCTCAATACTGTTTTTGTTACTGTTTTTTCTCTATCCACTTTTGCTGTAACATTGGAATTTCCCCATTGTGGGACAAATAAAGTAATATAAAGGAATATCTTAACCCTTGCCTTGACAACCCTGTAGTATGCTATTTTTATGTGATCTGCATATCCACTTGGTTATTTCTCCAACAGCTATGTGAGGAATATCAACACAATGCATATAGTGTCTCTAGATTCATGATAAAAGACATCAATGTACATCAATTGGTGTCTGTTTGGGTGGTTTAGGTTCTGTTACATATATGCAATTATTCAAATTAGAATGACATACACACAGCAGTGGGGGGCTGGGTCAAGAGGTTACGGTATATGTCACACGTGGTATACTACTAACTAAGGCTGTCTTCAGACAGACAACAGCTCTGCATGAATAAATACCACCACCTCATTTATTTCAATGAGACAGCAGTTGGCACAATGGGGTGTTAACAGAGAGGCCTTAGGCAAAAAGCAAGAAAAGTTTAACCTGACTCAACCTTTACCAAAAAACAATCCCATGTCATCAGACAGGCAACACAACATATAGGGCAATCAAATACATGTAAGCACACAATGTAATTCTGCTGTTTACCTTAGACATACTTGAGACAGATTGCAGTTCACATGTGGCATCAAAAGAAGAAATGTGCCTTTCTTATAAAAATGCAAGACCACAACCATCATTGAAAAGCTGAACACTACAGGTAACAACTGGGGAAGAAAAGACAAGCAGCTGAGTAATATAGTAACAGCTGACCAAGTTGACTATACAGTCTTCATCAAACTAAACAAATAGCTATATGATCATATGTCTCTTGCAACCAAAGAAAGTGGATTAAACACTCACATCCCAATGCTTACTCAGTGCATTTTGGGTACAGTCACACTTCTAACTAAGTGCGTACACGTCCCCAGAGACCGCAAATTCATTTCAACTTTGAATAACAAGAGGGAAACATCCAGAGGAAACTGCTCCTGAAGAGGCTGTGAGGTGCTAATGGGTCGTCTTGTGCATTCTCTGGATGTCTGTTGAGAGCATTAAGATCTCTGGTGTCCCTCCTACTATTTCACTGGTTCACCTCCTCAGTCATTCATCCACAAACACAGCAATTAGCAGAGGGGGAGTTTTAAAGTGCTGCTAATGCAGATTCAGTCTGCCCTCCTGCAGTCACATTTGCATTTCGAGCTTTCAGCTTTTGTTCTGTTATATAGTGGCTTGGAATGAGTTTAACAATGATCTCAAAAGAGAAAACCAGTGTCCATTACAGTTAACACCCATTATCTTCTGTATACATTTTCTCATTGTGTTACAATGCAGATCAGGTAATAGTTTGTTTTAAAGAACAGTAATTTTGGATAATTATCTTATTTGCTGTCTTACCAAGAATAAGAAGAGAAGATTCAATTTCATCTCTGTGTGTTTAAAGGGGAGGTGTAATGTTTTTCCCTATACAAAAGTAATCCTTTGAGAAAAAAGCTCAGAATTCAGACTTCTCTGAAAGCAACGTTTCTTTATCCAGATGAGCCAACTCGACAAAGGTTAAATAACAGCAGACAAATATTTCAAATTAGACAGTACAGTACTCCTGCACATTTTGACTTTACAGGCAGTGTCAAATCTTGCCTAAAAGCCTGTCTTAAACTACAAAGATGCCGTAGATGACAAGATAAAGATAAAACAGATTTTGTATGGTGACATATTTTGAAACATTATCTCTGAACGGAGACATTCCTTTTTTCCGGGAATCAGATGAAAAATGAGCTAAACCCAGCTCCAGAAACAGAGAACAAAACAGAAACTCTCACCAGTTTAATATTCCTAAATGATCTCAGAATGAGGAAATACGAGCTGAAAAGAAAAGGCAATGGGGATTTTCACAGCATCGAGAGTACTGTACTGTATATTAGCATATGTTGAGGGGGAAGATGCATCAAAAGAAGAGCACACAAGAAGTCCTCTCATTATAAAGGAAAATGGGGAAGATGGGCTCAGTAGAAAGTTAATTCCACTGACCAATCATTCCACATCAGGAAATTCACCCAGGAACTGTCAATTTCAACCACAGGAACTAAGTTTTAGTTTTGGTTCTAGGGACATACCATAATTCCTGCACCCAGAAAGTCCATCTTCTCGAGGTGGGACTTTCCAAAGGCCCAGGAACTATCGGGGTGGAGTTATACTGGCTATTGCACTCTTTGTCACTGGTATCAGGTATTAGGACTACAGAATGGAATTACTTTCAGTGTTTGTTTCAGTGACATTTAAATCATTGCTGCATAACCCATTTCCCAATCGACAAGAGGAGAAGTGAAAAAGTGTGCAACAAAGGCAAATGAAAATTTCCTAATTGGTTTAACATGCTTACAAACTAAACCGCAAAAATAACCAGTATCATTTTGGGACTTTTCTTGAGCTTTCAGTCTGCCTTTCTATCTCTGCATGTTTAATTTCCAGTAAATTACACAGAAAAATATAATGACTATATCGTTGTCTTGTCCTATTTAAAAAAAAGCTTTGTAACCCATTATTGGTCTCATATTCACAGCTTTTCAGTTGCAGTGGAAACACAAATATGAATACACTATAGGGACTTTAAGTTTCTGAAAAGGTTCTTGACTTTAGTCCCTGAAGCTCCTGAGATCTTGATACTATTTGCAGTCAAAAAGGCCCCAAAAGTGGGATAAATGTCTGGCAAACGTGATTTTAAAAAGGCAAAATCTCTGGTAAAGTAGTGATCAACAGCCCTACTACAACTAACAACATGTTGGGGACATTTTGTACAACAGGCCCTGGAAAAAGTCTGATTTTGTAGTTTATATCTTGGTAATAGCTATAGGCCCTGGAACTGCAGGCTGACATGAAGGTTGTTCTTCACAGCAGAATGCACAGCACTGACTGCTTGGGAGCACACACACACTAACACATACAAATGATGAGCCCGCCACAGCATAGGTAATTACAGAGAAAGAGGGGAGCCGAGACAGTCGACTGGACATTCATCTCATTACTCATGCATGCCTCTGGGCTGTTCCCCACTGGCCTTCTGAGGAACATCACATGCTCTTCTCTCTCACACACAAACAAAGGCTTGCAAATCCTTTCCAAAATACTCAGGACACACACCTGGACAGTCAGGCTCAAGAGCTTGATGCATCTTTCCTAATTACATCACTAACAATGATAACTGGATTATTATTATTCATAAATACTTGTTTAGAGAGAGTGGGCATGCGGTAGCCTGACTGGGAATAACATCTTGGATTTTTTGCATATTTTTTTTACAGCTTAGACCATTAGCTGACCACTTTGCAATCTACAAAGTGTGAGTGGGAAAATAATAAAGGGAGGACGCCTGGTGGAAACATCAATTTTGCAGGGTTGAAACCTGTGATCTCTCTGGTATGGGAGAAGCTCTAATTGCTAGTCTATGGTAGGCCAATTTGCAAAAGAGTTTGTACACCCAAAAGAAAGAGCCAGGCATTTAATATATGACCGCAATAAATAAATAACTGCAGAGTCTGCACTCTGGAGTGTCTTCTTTCCCGTCCTCGATGGCGAGAAAGAGGCTGTAGATTTTCTCCCGGTGTGATGTGTAGTGCAGAAAACCAGGTCAGCGAGCACACAACAAGGTAAGATGAGGTACAGACGGCTCACACGCTGGAGATGGTTACGTCAGCTGAGGCTGGAGGAGAACTGAGGTATCCCACTGTGAAACCTCAGGATCCCTGCTTGCACGCTGCTCTTTGGCGTGGCTCCATTTTCTCCCCTTTCATGTCTCCTGACAACCAGCAGCAGCCGTGTTGTTTAGATCAGTGGTTCGCAAACTTTCACACCAGACACAAACAAAGACTCAACATGGGAGCAGTGCAGCAATTCATGGAATCTGTGCTTTTTTTTTGCAGCTTGTGGCCCCCTAAGAATCAGATTGATGTCAACTAGAGCCCTTGTTGCAAGCACACTCCCAAAGACTGACTAACTCTGCAGTAAACAATGAGATTTATTTCACTCAAAAGTATTTACTAGCAGACTTCTAATGTCCACATTCCAGAAGTCAAACATCTCTGAGTTTGAAATAAAAAGAATACATACTTGGTGCACAGCTTGCTTTGTAAGTTCAGTCACTTTGACTCGTCTTGCTGCTCGTGTAAATATAACCATGTCCTACATTTTTTGTCTCTGTTTCATTGCACCGATGTGACTAGCCAATCATGGCCCCTGTTGAAAAACAGCTTTTGAAATTCAAATGAAACAAAGTGTCTGTTGAGTTTTTTGAATTTGCAGTTTTTGGTGCCTTTGATCCGTAAAATGTCTGCACATAGGGTACGGTGGATAAATATGAAAAGCACCATATTTG